CCCACTTCTCTGCTCTACAAACACTGCTAACATCTGAGAGGAACAATGGTCCAATAAAGAATATAAAATGATGCAAATCAATGAGAGATTGATCAATACACACACATGCACATTGATCAAATCATGTAATATTTTAAGTATATCCTTCTTCATTATTGCTTCAAAATCTTTCATTAACTAGATTTTGCCATATCTTAGGAAATGAAAGACATCTACCCAACATTTTTCATATATATTTTCATACCTTTCATTTTATATGTATATATATTTTTGGTGCCAGAGATTGAACCAAAGGGCACTTAACCACTGAGCCAAACACCCAATATTTTAAAATCTTTTATTTTCAGAAAGGGTCTCACTAAGTTACTGAGGTTGGCTTTAAGCCATGATCCTCCTGACTGAGCTTCTCAAGCTTCTGAGATTACAAGCATGCACCACAATGCCTGGTTTACCCTTAAAACTTTAAATCCTCTTTTGTTTCATTTCTTTTTTTTAAAAAAAAGAATGTTCTTTTTAGATATATATGACAGTAGAGTATATTTTGACATACACATAAATGGAGTTTAACTTGTACATTATCTTTTGCTGATCATGTATTCATATATGAACACAGAAAAGTTATGCCTGATTTATTCCATTGGCTTTCCTGTTTCCTGCTTCATTTCCCTTAATTCACTTTTTTTTTCTAATCCAGTTAACTTCTATTCTTTCCTCCACCCTCCTTATTGTGTGTTATCATCCACATATCCAAGGGAACATTCAGGGGGACTGGCTTATTTCACTAATCATGATAGACTCCAATTCCCTTCATTTACCAGCAAAAGCCATATTTTCATTCTTCTTTATGGGTGAGCAATATTTCATTTTGTTTACATACCACATTTCTTCATCCATCATCTGTAAAGGACACTTAGGTTGATTGCATAGTTTTGCTACTGTGAATGAGCTACTATAAACATTAATGCCTCCTGCATCACTTTCCTTTCACTTTTCAGTAGCTCCCTTCCTAGCATGAGTGGAAGCTCTATGAAACCTGCCTCTTTCTCCTCCACATAATCCATAGTTCTCACGGAGAAGCACAACATGTCCAGATGAAAGAGGACCTTAGCTCCAAGTGTTGCCTAGGCTATGGTCCAGCTGCCAACTAGTAGGTGGCCTTTGGTGGCCTTTCCTCACAGCCATCTCAGTGCATACATTGTTCAGAGAGCTCATGTTTTAGTCATCTTTTGCAGATAAGAACAATTTATAGGAGGAAGAATTCATTTGGAGCAGAGAGTTTCAAAGCTCTCAGTCCACAGATGGCCAATGACCTTGTTCAGGGCCCAGGTGAGGCAGCACATCATGTGGCAAAGGCCTAGCAGAGAAAAGCTCTTCCCCTCATGGCAGCAAGAAAACCAAGAGCATCGGGGAAGGACCCAAGGGGAGATGCAAACTTCCAAGGAACACCCCAATGACCCAACTCCTCTAGGTCTACGCCACCTGCCTACAGCTTCCACCCAGTCATTCAGACTAGGATGGACTGATTGTTTCAGCTCTCACAATCCAACCATTTCTCATTTCTGAATTAATAACAAGAGTTGGGGTGTGGACATCTCACATCCATATTATAACATCTTGCTTCAGTGACATTCAACCAGTGCCATACTGTGCCACAAAGTAGATGCTGGTGGAACAGTATAGCAATGTTTCCTGTAATCTCCAGGGAAAAATGAATATGTAGGGATTTTATGTTTTTGAAAGCTGCAAACTCAGACATGACCCCACAAGTTGGCTTCCCACAGCAGCTCTCCATTTGAAGTGCACTTGTTACACTCTGGCCTGCTATCCAGCTCCCAGATCACCTAAGTTCAGACTGACTTGCTGTCCTGCAAGTGTTTCTATACCAATACTGTGCTCTGTATCTTTTTCTCTTTCCCTTTTTGTTACCATGCTCCTCTTTATTGTTTCAGATCTGCTAGGACAGGACTGGTGCCTGTGTGTCTTTTCTCACTGTTCAAATAACCAAAATCTCTGACTGTCTCCCTGTCCAGTACTGAACCTCACTCATCCCCTCAGTCACCCACCTGGCTGAGGTGCTTCTCTGCAGCTGTTTCAGGTTTGCATTATGGAAGAGCTGAGTGCTATGAGGTTCTACACTACAATCTTGACCTCCACCCAGAAGAACAGCATAGGACATATGTATTTAAAATTTTATACTGAGGAAGGCAGAAAGATTAGAGAGAGGTGAGAAAAGTCAAATTCAAAAGGAAAATGTCATTTTGAGCAACAGCAAAAAAGGAAGAATAGCAGGGGAAGAGGTAAGGAAAAATCCAGTCCAAACATCAGAGAGATCCACCGGCAAAAAATAGATAAGAGTCGGGAGGAAGAACCATCAAAAGATTTGAAGTAGAGTGGTCATTTTTATCTGATAAAAAATAAAATTCTTGAATCAATTGAGTTGCAAACCAGCTCTCCGATAATTTATTTCAGATATCCAAATGCACAGATTCCCACATTCTATATTAACATTGCTATTTCTTACTAAATTAATGACATAAGCCAACCGTCATTAACACAACAGTTATAAAGCCAAAGAGAAATACATTGGAATCAGTGTCACCATGGCTAGGCAAAAATCAATATTAGAAATTCAATGTAAAAACAACTATTGTAGCCAGGATTCTGCAAAATTCTGGAAAGCATATAGCTGAAAGCCAGGTCCCTATTCCCAATGCCAATCAATAACAATTTAATAATGAGGACACAGTTTTGAGAAAAAGGAAAAAGAAGGTTTATTGCTTTGCTAGCAAAGGAGAAACACAGGGTACTCCTGTCCAAAGGATGTGACTTTCTGGATGAGGAGGAAAGAGGAGGTTTTAAAGGAACCCTTCAAGGGTTACATTCCAGGTAGGCTCTGATAGGGGGTCCCAGGGCTCCCAGATGGCAGGTTAGAATTCACTTGTTAATTTAGGAGATATTCACTTCCCAGATTCTCAGCAGGCATCTCATTTCTGTAGTGGGCATGTTCAAGGGCAGTTAATTAGGGGATGAAATGATAACACTGTCTCCCTAATCTTGTTAGGAAGCAGGAGAGGGGAGAACAGAGAAAAAAAACTTTAAAAAATTATGCCTTAGAGCAATGAGGGCTACATTCAGAAGGTGAAGGTACCACAGTTACAAGCAGACTGGTAAGAATAAAAAACTGCCAGGTAGATGTCTTTCAGTATTTGTTTATTTTTTGACTGAATATTGTGTCTTTTTTACTCTTGGGTATCATTACCTAAGGATACAGTAGGAGTTTAGGAGTTAAAAAAATAAAATAAAATGTATTTGTATTAAAGTGCAGTATGCATCAGATATGAATCTGTAGTGGTCACTATGATCTGTCTTGAATAAGGTTTTATTGTGCGCTATTTCAAATATTGAATTTACAGATCCATAAATTAATTGACCCAATGATATCAGTTCCTTGTTTTTCAAGCTGGATCCTAGAGATACATGAAGTACTTAATGAAGAGAACTGTGTGAAAGGAAAGGGCAGGAAGACACACCTGCTATGAGAAGTGACAACTGATGGAGAAGAAAGGGAACAGTGAAGGACAGATACACTGGCATGCCTAAGCCTTTGTGACACACCTAGTCAGAAGTTTCAAATATTGAATTTACAGATCCATAAATTAATTGACCCAATGATATCAGTTAATGGAAAAATATATGAAAGATTTCATTGCTCTTTGGGGTAAGCTATTTCGGCATTAAGATTTGGTCTAAAACACCAAGGGCAGATAGCGGATTAGTGATCTACATGGCATGATATTTTAAGGTATGGAGTAAACTCAAATCCCAACATCAGAATTTATGAGGTGCCACTGAGGTGTCAGAGAGGGTTGTTGTCTGGTCAAGGAGAGCCAGGCATGGGTGAGTTCAGAGCATTGGTAGGAATTCCAAATAAGTTTAGAAATCTCAGTAATTGATAGTAGAATAGAAATTAACTTTTCATGACTTTGTGATGAGATGGCTCCCAATCTTAAAATAAAATTAGGCTGAGCTCATCAGGAATAACAGATAAGATGTGTCTTATTTGAATAATATCTTTATTTATAATTGCTTAGATACAAACATTTTCAAATAGCAGCACAAACTCAAATTGATGATTTCAAATCATCAAGTAAATTGAGATATAATTTTTTAAAACTTCCTTTTACGTTCTGGTGCCTCTAGATTTATACCTTCTTTGGAAGTGGGAGAAATCAACTCTTCTTATCTGCCCCTGCTCTAGGCTTTGCTGATAATGTGACATCTCAATAATTCCCTTTGATTGTGCTAGAATAGAAGATACTCATGGCTGACTTCCCCATGGAATCTGCCTCCTCTCCTCTTGAGCCTGATTGTTGCCTAGGAGGACCTCCCAGTAGGCAGCATTGGGCCACTCAGACTTTATCAGTCAGGAAATCCCAGAGGCTACTCCAATTCTATAGAAATGGTAATTAACCCACCTTCAGTGATGGAGTCATGTGATGCAGAACCTGCAGCAGAGGTTCTGTTATTGTGTTATTGCTCTTCTCTGTGCCCTTCCTGAATTCAACTTGTTTTTATTCCAAATCACTGAGGTCACCCTCCTAAATCTTTTTTTTTTTTTTCACTTGAAGTCTTTTGAGGGAGCTTCAGATACTTATGTCAAGGATGTGTTTCTTTTGCCTCCCCAAGTTTTGTAAAGCATAAAGTTAATGTCGAATATTCTGAAAAGTGATTTTGCTCTATTTATTATTATTATTGTGATGATTATGATTATTACTACTACTACTATATTGGAGGTAAAAATGAGAATCAATCCACTTTAATTTGCATATCAGGACACTGACTTGCCAACTCAGAGTAGACACCTGCTATAAAAATGAAAAAATAATTTTTGAGAGACAAAATGTATTTCTTTTTTCTACAGAAGTGTGTTACCTCTTAACAGGTACTGAGAATCCCATAAATATTGCTTAACTCTCTATACTGTTTTTGAGTCTAATATCTTACTTTTCATGAGAAACTAACACCAATCTCTTCCACATTTTCCTTAATGCATTTTTAACTTCTTTATTTCTAAAAGTATAAATCAAAGGATTGAGCAAGGGGGTGAACATAGTATAAAACGTTTCCACAAGTTTGTCAAAGGGAAAGACAGAAGGAGGCCGGACATTTATAAATATGCATGGGACAAAGAACAAAACCATAACAGCAATGTGAGATCCACAGGTGGACAGAGCTTTCCTCCGCCCCTCAGCACTGTGTGTTCTCAGAGAGAACAAGATGACACCATAGGAGACCAGCAGTAGGCAGAATATTATAATGCACATAAATCCACTAGTGCCAATCATCAAAAGGCCTAGGATGTGAGTGTCAGTGCAGGCCAGCTTCAGTAATGGGTGCAAGTCACAAATGAAATGATCAATGACATTAGGGCCACAAAAGGGCAGCTGGAAAGTGAACAGAACCACTGTAATGGCATGCAAGAAGCCCCCTGTCCAGGATACCCCTACCAGAATGCCACAGAGCCTCCAGTTCATGATGGCAGAGTAGTGCAGGGGCTTGCAAATGGCCACATAGCGGTCATAGGCCATAGATGTGAGGATAATCATCTCTACCCCACCAAAGAAGTGCTCAGCAAAAAGTTGAATCATGCATCCTTTATAAGAGATTGTTTTCCTCTCATCCAAGGAGTCTGCAATCATTTTTGGTGTGATAGCAGAGGACAAACAGGCCTCTAAGAAGGACAGAAATGCCAAGAAGAAGTACATGGGGGACCCTAGCAGAGCAGGGCTACAGAGGATGGTCAATATTATCAACATGTTTCCTACAATAGTTGCAAGGTAGACCAAGAAAAACACAGCAAATACTGTTTTCTGAACAGTAGGATTCTGTGAAAGTCCCAGGAGGACAAATTCAGTTATAAAACTTTGGTTGTGCATAATTTCCAAGAAAAGAACAAACATGTAACTGTTACTATTGAAGTTTACAATTATGATAGAGATCTGCTTCAGACCAGTTTATAGTTTCAGAGTCACAAATTGTTTCAGTGCACACAAATACACTATGTCTTTAGTGCTTCTTCTTTTTTTTCACTACAAACACAAATTTTAACATTTATTGATGATAGGAGCTCACGATTAGGAGGACTAAGGTGAGGATAGAGTATTCACCACTTTTGAATTGTTAGAGGTTCTATAAAGATGAATGGAACCATCCACTTATGGTAGAGAAGAAGAATAGTTTTTAATTTCAAAAGACAGCTTTGATGATTTACTTGTAATTACTCTCAGTGAATCATTGGGAAGTATTCTTTACCTCACCCCCATTGAAGCCTGATTTAAAGGTAAGTAGTTAGTGTAGCTAGGGAAATGGGGTCTGATATGGGGTCTAATAGAGATCATGGATTCAAATCTAATAAAGAAAATGGTGTCCAATTTGAATCCAGGGAGATTGAAATGTTAATGTTCCAAAGCCTTTTCCCACCCTAAAAAAATGTTAATTAAGCAACTCCCAGCAAATAGGGAAATGCTAATTACTGAACCCAAGGCCCCTTCTTGCCTCCATAGGCCCCCCAGTTTCCCACCTTTTGGCCTTCCCACCTGGATATCCCTTCACAAGCAGGATAAAGGAAAATAAGCAAGATATAAAGAGCAGGAATGTAGAAGGATAAAGAATACATTAGATATAAAAGGGATGGGACTTCCTCATCCCAAGGATTCCACCTTTCAGGTCCCCTTCTTCCTCAGGGTGAAGTCTATTCTACTATCCTTTAAATAAAACCTCTCTCTACTCCACACTTGGTCTCAGTGTGCTTCTCTGGCGTTATACTTTAGCATTCAGGGAAGCAGTACTCGTCAAGATAACAAGCAGTGTTATCATCATGAGGAGATGAAGACTGTAGCTGTATTATTTCTTTCCACTGCTGTTGACATGGGAGGAGGCAGGGTTGACTAATAAGCAATCTCTAATCTGGAGAGCCTCATGCCTACAAGAAAAAATAATATGAAATGTAAGTGGTAGTTTTAAAGCATGGCCACGCTTATAAAGTTATTTATTTATTTATTTATTTATTTATTTTACAATTTAAACTGAATTTGGTCTTTTCATGATTCATTTTCTTTATCAAAATGAAGGATCTATGAAAAAGTACAAAGTGACAGCACATCACACCACTGCGCTAAATGTTTAGTTTTTTTTTTTCTTTTTAATTACCTCATTTAGACATTTGGGGAGAATTTCTCCAAAAACAATAATAACTACTTTCAAATGTTGTAATAGCAACTAAGTGAAATAGGCACAGGAGAGTGATCACACAGGACTCACTGTCCAAGGAACACTCTAGGCTTTGTATCCTTATCTCCTTGTATTTTAGTAAGCTTTTTCACTGCTGTGACTAAGACATCTGACCAGCTCAAGTTTAGAGGAGGAAAAGTTTATTTGAGGGTCCTTGGTTTCAGAGGTCTTATTACCTGGAAGGGAGGCTCCATTTCTCAGGGCTCAAGGTGAGGCTGAACATCATGGCAGAAGAGTGTGATGGAGGGGAGTAGCTTACATCATGATGACCAGAAAATAGAGAGTCCACTTTCCAGATACAAATATATACACCAAAGCCATGCCCCAATTCCCATCTCCTCCAGCCACACCCTACCCCTTCAGTTGCCACTCAGTTAATCCCTATTAGTGGATTGGGTCATTGATTGGGTTTTCGCCGAACTTTTCGCTGGACCCTTACAAAACTGTCCAATATTTTCATATATTGCGTACACCATCTCCCAAGTTCATGCTGGCAATCATATTTGGAAACTTGAAAGTGTTTCTTATGATAATAAGCTCTTACTAATTATAGCTATTATGTACTCCATTTGTTATGCTCAAATTCGTGACCCCCCAAAGACCACCAGAAACCAAGATCCATGTAAGCAGCAAAGAAGTGTTGCGAGCTAGCTTGGTCCTCTGTGTGCACACAGCAACTGGTGATGCTGAGAGGCCCAGAGCCCAGGGTTTGCAGAAGTTTTATACACTCTTTGGGCAAGGCAGGGACTTTATATACAACATAGCATCTCTTAGCAAATCATCACACACCTCGGGAAAATCATAAAACAACTCTAAAACATGATTAGCACATTTTCACTGGTGGGAACAAATTGGGTAAGGGTGACTGGTTAGTACAAGAAGGTGATTCATTTGAACTGATTGGTTTAAACCACAAGGGGTGTACATGCTGAACTACATGGTCCCAACATGTTATCAACCACCATAAACTACTGGGAGGGTCATCTGGCCAGGTATTTTCCCTATCTCATGCTGATTGGTGGTTGCTAGGGGGTTGCTCTGGATCTTCATCTAGCCTGACTGAGCCAGGGACACCTGGTGCAGCAGATCTCTCCTGCTATTTGTAGATAAACAACTCAGTAGGGTGGGGATGTGCCTAGGAGTGCTCTGTGGGTCTTTCCAAGGACAAGGGTCACACCCCCTTCCTTGAACAGGCTTTGCTCTAAGGTAGAGGCTGGTTTTTCACATGAAAAGCCAATTGCTTTTTCTACTGAAGGCATTTCCATGAATCATCCAGACAATTACTCCAAAAAGTTACTTAAAATTCTGTATCATCAGTTCATACTTCCATGTGAGTTTAGTTAGAATGTCTATCAATAGAACTCCTGTGAGGATATGATTAGACCCTACACGTAGAAACATTAATGCAGTCAAGTGCACAGGGGAAGGTGGTGTGTGGTGAGAACAAGCTGTCACAGTCCCTGACCCAGAGCAGAAATGAGAGCATGCTTACTTCCTAATGCCTGCCTCACGATGACTAAGGTTGATAAGTGTGTTATTCATCTTCAAATGTATTTAAAAATGAAAAAAAAAATATTTGTCAAGTAGCAGAGAAGAAATAGCCTATTGAACTGTATAAGACATTTACTATATTTGATAGACATTGAATACATCACTGTGGCCCACAGCCCCACATGCATCCATTCCTGTTTCAGATACACTCATTGTGCAAAGGAAACCAAGTGGAACAGGAGGTTAAAAGGAAGACAAGACTCTATGGTAATTTAGTAAATAAATAAATGTTGTCCTTTCACTTTCTTTTTTAAGGTTTTTTTTAAAATAATGCAATTTTATTTTTTACATATTTGTTAAATATAAAACACCCAACTTCTTATTTTATCAAATAAAGGAATTTCCTAAATTATTGTCAGAACATTGACAGTGGAGAACATGGTGTGCTAATGGTTTGTAACAGAAGGTTACAAATTTATCATTTTAATTTTTTTGAAAGGTAATGGTACTAGAGGCAATAGTTTAAATAGATTGAATCCTAGGTCAGAAATAAATACAGTATTAGAAAAAATAGTCAAATACAGTTTACTGTTTAGTGAAGAGTAAGTTTGAGAAACTGATATGACTCCATTTTTGAGAAACAAGCCTCTACCTCAGAGCAAAGCCTGTCCAAGGAAGGGGTCAGTGTGACCCTTGTCCTTGGAAAAACCCATGGAGGCTTTCTAGGCACATGCCCACCCTGTTGAGTTATTTGTCTGTAAATAACAGGAGAGTTCTGTGAGTCAGGTGTCCCTGACTCAGGCTAGGTGAAGACCCATAGCAACCGCCTAGCAACCACCAATCAGTGTGAGACAGGGAAAATACCTGGGATGCCAGATGACCCTTCCAATAGTTTATGGTGGTTGATAACATGTTGGGAAAACATGTAGTTCAGCAAGTACTCCCCTCATAGCTTAAACCAATCAGTTCAAATGAATCCCCCTCTTGCACTAACCAGTCACCCTTACCCAACTTGTTTCCACCAGTGAATGTGCTAATCAATGTTCCGAATTGTTTTATAATTTTCTTGCAGTATGGAATGATTTGATAAGAGATGCTATGTTGTATGTAAAGTCCCTGCCTTCCCCAAAGAGTGTATAAAACTTCTGCAAACCCTGGGCTTGAGGCCTCTCAGCATCACCAGTTGCTGTGTGCACATGGAGGACCGAGCTAGCTTGCAATAAACACCTCTTTGCTGCTTACATGGATCTTGGTCTCTGGTGGCTTTTTTGGGGTCACGAATTTGAGCATAACAAATGGTGCAAACATTAGCAAATAAATGACATGTGGTCACTTATATGTGAAAGTTAAATGAGCAGATCTCAAAGAAGTGGGGAGTAGAATCATGGTTCTGAGAGGCTGGGAAAAGTAGGGTCAGGGGACAGAGAATGTGCCAACCCTGACCTGCGCGGGCCACGGTCGTTCCTGTGAATTTGCAGGAACACCAAATAAAACATAGAAACAAATTACAACAAGCTTCAGGATGTTTTCTCTGATCTCAGCCTCAGCCTTCCCAAAAGGGAGAGCAAGAGAAAGTCACAAGAGGCTGGTGAGAGAGAGCAAGCACATTCAGAAATGGGTTTTTACTGGGGGGACTCTTGTTCTTTAGAAAATTCTACTCAAAAAAAGGCCAAAAGGGGCAGGGTTACAAGGGAGAAGTGAGTGTAACTCAACGCCAGGAGCGACACCTACATCTGAAGATGTGCCTTTACTATCAGAGCTGGACAACACCCAAGTCACTGCGAAATGTAGTGATTAGTCAGAGTCTCCTGTTTCAGGACTGGAAGGCTTGGGTCATTCAGAGTGGCTCCCCAGGAGAATGGTTAATCGGAGAATGGTTAATCGGTGCAGTTGGGCTGTTGAATGGGAATCATAACTTCTACTTTACTACAACCAGGGTTGAAACCAAGTAATTATATATTTCAAAAAAGCTGGTGGAGATGATTTTATATTTTCCCAAGTCAAAGAAATGATAAATGTTTACAGTGACAGGTAACAACAATTACCTGGATCTGATCAAATGTGCCCATCAATATGTACAATCTTCATGTACCCATTAAAAGTAAATACCAAAAAATTAATTAAACTTTATGAAAAGATCTACATATTTGGAGAGATC